TGGGGGTCACCCCATGGTCCCTCCCTGCTCCTCCAACCTTCCTCCCCACCCCCTACGTACCAGCGTGGAGTCCAGGTCCAGCTCCCTGCGGTGGCAAGTTGGGGATTGCCCAAATCTCCAAAGCTTTTCAAAACTTTTCTGAATCTGTTCAGACTATTTTATTGGTCTCCCATTTAGATTCTGATTCAGAGATTCAGATGCCGAATCGGACTGAATCTCCTCCGAATTGAATCAGCACCTGAAGCTTCACACAGCCCTAGTGTAGGTTAACATGTTGCCTTAGATGAAAACATATAGTGCATTTATAGACATGATGTGATCAGAGGCTGAGAGAAGCCCAAAATTTGTAATCAATAAAACTAAACTAAGGGAATTGTTTTTCAAATCATTTCTTTTTCTCATTGTTCAGTTACCCCACTAAAATTGGATGTGCTTCATTTATTGCAGTTAATTACAGAGTGTCCCCATGTTCTGGGCTGCGCTGATGACACACTCTTGGCTGTATCGGATTGTCTTTCTAGTTTTAGACTTTTATCTAGTTTCCATCACTAACTGACAGCTATTACATAACTGTTGTTAACTGGCCTCTGAAAGCTTCTGTTTATATCTCAAATGATGCATTTCCTGAAGCATGGTCATTACATAGATAAGAGATTTTAAAGATCCATGTAAATTGGTGAAGAGGAGCTAGCAGAACCACTAGAAGATGAGTGAAATTTACCTTCATGGAAAGTAGCCTATTTGGGCAATTCAATTAGAATGTAGTTATAACAAATATGAAATTTTAGTAAAGAGAAAACATGTGTTCTCTCACCCTTTTTTGGGGAGGAGGAGAGGGCTGTTGTTTTACTGTAATGGAAATTCTGCAGATGGTGTGAAAAGTGCTACTAATTTATAGAGTAAGTTTTTCAATATAGCACAGTGCAACAGAGAAGAAACAGTGTGGCCATGTGGTCCAGAGAAGTAAACCTAAGATTTCTTAGCTATATAAATATAAGGAAGACTTAGTTCCTTAAAAAACATACCTATTCAGGAAGGCACTTAAATGTGACTTGAAGTACCGGTGACTGGAATGGGATATAGAGTGAAGTTACATGTTACCCTTTAGACCATACTAAGGGCACTTAAAACATGTGTCTGTACATAAATTCATTTTAAGTACCGTTTGAGTGTCTTAAAACTACACCACTTCAGGCAAAAGTAAACTCGGGGCTGTGCTACCAACTCGCATTAGGATAACTTCAGTCTGTTCTACAGAGATAAAACAAGCAATTTGCAGTCACCCAACATCCCAGGATGCAGAGCTGTCCCTTGCGGGGAGGGGCGAATTGAGGCATCTGCCCTGGGCTCTGCACTTTTAAGCACTAGGGCGTCTGCCCCAGACAGTGCCATACAGGCCCTGCAGATAGTGCCTTCAGTATGTGGAGAGGGCACCACCACTTTGTGCGGCTGCTGTACACTGCTGGCTTCACACTCTGGCTGCTCACCACCCTGCTCCCCCCACTGCTCCCCACTCTGGCCACTTGCTGCCTTGCAGAGGCCCTGTACAGGCTGATATGCCTCTGGCCCCACACACCCCTAGAGTTGGCTCTGCCAGGATGCACCATTCCCAGGCCCCTACAACCTAGAGCAGGGATAGAGTCCAAGTGCCTTGGCTCTGAGATATGTCCCTTCTCACCAGCTTGCCAGTAGCAAGTCAGAGTTTTGCAGGCAAGAAACAGTATTAAGGCTAAAATGTATTAAGGCTTAACATGCAACTGCTTGCAGTACGTACTAGCCTTAACATTGCTTGACAGTCCACAGATTTAGTATGGCTATAGTTAAGCTGGAAAAGAAAGTTTTCTTTTGCACTGTAGTTTTGGAACTTTTAGAGGAGAATGGTAATTCACAATATTTTAAACTAATTTTTTGGCTTTCAAATTAAAATTTGAGGAATAATAATTTGACAGTTTTTTTTTCTTCTGAAACAAGTGAATTTCATAGTGCTAATAGGCTGTGTTTTGGGTGGGTGAAATACAGAGTCTGGAGACTACACCCAGAGGTTTGAACTCATTTTCTTATGCAGTTATGATGTATCTGTCAAGTCCAACTGCAAAGATGCCATGAGTGGAGATGCTTTTGTGATATGGACATATGTCTAACATCAGTTGGTCTTAGATGAGCAACTCATATCACATAGTCCATAAAATAATTTTTTGTATGTCTTTGAGTGCTGTGCAGCATAATCAGCCAGATGTTCATGTGGAAGTTGTCTATAGCTTTTATGCATGTGAAAGATGCTCACTCTCAACCTCAAGTCTAAAGACAATTCTGAGAGAGAATTTTGTAAGAGCGATCAGTTTGTTTCTAAAACTACTTACAAATTTCTGTGAATGCTTAACTTCCCCTTGGGCCACATTAATGGACTGAATGAACCCCTTTTTCATCTTTTGCACATGGGATATTCTGGATTTTTGTCTACATTGTAGAATTAAAATATTAATAGTTAGCTTCCTTTGAAATATATTTTTTTTAGTTTAAAGGTATCTTGACACTAGTTTCTTCTCTGTTCCAGGCAAGCTAAGACCTATTTCTATGCCAGTGGAATATAACTGGGTAGGGGACTATGAAGATCCCAATAAAATAAAGAGAGATAGTAGGAGAGGTAAGTGACTTGGGACACTAATTTTGTGCAAGACTATAAATAACAATGAGTTCTTTTTACATCACTTCTCATTTAAAATGTGGATATCTGTCAATATATTCTAGTGATATTCCCTTTTTTTATCACTTGTACTTTATTTTGCTTATCTTCGGGTTTCCTTCAGTGGAACTGGAGAAGTTGTTCAGGAGAGCTGGAAAAACAGAATTGTGGTTATACACTTCCTCCCAGTTTAGCTTGATCACAATGATGTCTGATTGTTTGAACATTTTGTCCTTTGAAATTGGCCCTAAAATATCATATAAAAAAGTTAATTTGTTCTAATGTTGTAATACATAGTGCAGTGAGAATTAAATTGTAAATCTGCCTGTCCTGATAGATTTTTTTTGGTTGCCAAGCATTCTGAAAGGACTAACTAGAAATGGTCCAGAGTTGAAAAGTTCCCCAAAAATCTCATGAGGGTCATTGGCACTTTTCTGGTGTTTGCCCATTTAATAAATTTTAAGGCCAGAATGAAAATATTGGGTCTTTTATTCCAACCTCCTATATACCTACAGAATTTCACTTTGTTACCCCTTTATTGAACCCGAGGCAGTCTCATTGCATATTGAAAAGGTGGCTGTTGTTGAATAGCAGTTTTATCACAATGGCACCCATTGGCCTGTATGCAAAGCACTGGTACAGTAGGTAGAATTGTGATACCTGTTTTGAATTGCATATAATCCAGCAAAAGGCCAGTACCGTAACATATTAGTTCTATTCTGTCTCTGTGATGCATGTGCACAATTGGCAGTTTGGTGTTATGAAGCTTAGCTATTGCTAATCTTAATTTTAATGATGGACGAATAAAAATTCAGTCTAGATATTGTTACAAGACAACAGGTGGTATAAACAAGAAAGAGACTAAAATAAAATGAATAATCAATACATGTTACTTGGAAAATGTTAATTTTCTCAGCCATCTTTGATCTAGTTTCATGTAGAACATTGCTTCCAAGAGCAGTATTTCAGATATAATAATAAACTGTTTTCTATTTATTTAAAAGGAAGAGACCAGAGGGTGTTTGGGGGGAGGGGGGGTACGTGTTGACTACTGTTCTGGATTAGTGACCAGGGCTGGATTAAGCCTGTAGTGGGCCCTGTGCTGGTCAAGATCTCCCTTCCCACCCAGGCACTGCTTCCTGCAGGGAGCAGGGTGTGTAGCCAGTGCTGGGGAGGCAGGCAGAGGGGAGGGGAAGCAGAGGGAGCCATTTGCACTGCCGCCACAGAGGGAAAGACCAGGCTCCTCTGCAGCTCAGAACCCCTAGTTTGCCTGTACATTAAATCTAGCCCCGTTAGTGACGAGAATGTTGAACTCTCTCCATCTCAAAAAACCTGTTACTGTGGCTGTGGACAGACATAAATATCACTTGCTTTAAAAGGGAAGGCAGGACTTGAAAGTGTGCATTAGCTGTTCCAGGTTAACTGTTAAATCTGGATGCTCCTTTAGCCATATACATGAGATAAATTATCATAACTCTAACCCTGAATAAAACAAGATAAAATGTCATTGATTTTACACTACATTAGTAGTATAGGTTCATCCAAATATAACAGTTATATTGGAATAGCTTATACTGTCATTATTTGGTAATGATATAACTGTTATGCTTGTCCATGACCTATGCTGTACTAACCCCCAAAATAAATAATTTTTGGATTGCATTGTGTTTTATAGGGTGGATTTTTTTTTAAATAACATAAAGCGTGGTAATGGAAAAATGTGATACATTTTTAGAGAAAGGATTGCCATGTATATTATGATTTACAATATAGTCTTTCATTATTTTTTTAATAGAAAATTCATTACTGCGTTACATGAGCAATGAGAAAATAGGTCAAGAAGACTACATGTTTCAAAGGAATAGCAAAAAGGATACAGGGAAAAAGTCCAAAAAGAAGGTGGATAAAAGTAACAGTCCAAGCCATTACTCCTTGCTACCTAGTTTGCAAATGGATTCATTAAGACAAGACATCATGGGCACGCCTGGGCCAGACACTACACTGTACCATGTGAGTAAAAATAACAGCCAAGGCTCATTGTTCTCTAGTGATGTTGAGAAATTATCTTATTACTTTTTATATTGCCATGGAGGCCTTTTCAGTCTTACACTGTTGCATTTTTCATTGTTCTGACTATAAATGGACTCCCAGTCTGTCTCTTAGAACTCTAATTTTAACATCACAAAATGGGAAAAGAACATATACAATTTTGTTTAAACTCGTATGATTCTCCTAATGGGAGTTATGTTTGAAATGGAGTGTAGCATCTTCATTTGTGCCAGCCTTCACATAGGGCAAGAAAAGAGGAGCAATTTGATTGGCTAGTTATTTCCATTCCATCATACATTTCACTGTGATTGTGCATGCTGGATCTCATTATAGGCGCATTTCGATAATGCGACCTTTAAACGAGAGATAAAAGTGTCAGAAAAACTTCCTCTCCACTGTGAATGAATAAGGCTCTTAAAGTTTGTAGCTGCATTTACCTGAATCAGAGATGACGTTGAAATTAAAATTCAATATAAAATATGTTATTTTTAGGCAAGTCCAAAAAATGGAGAATTAGTGAGGAGGTAGCACAATGTTGTAGACTGGTACCCTTTAACTCTTTTTTTCCTACCCATAATAAATACTTGCATGTATAGGCCTGATACAAGATGAGAGACCAGAAAAACATATACCCATGAAGAAAAGTGAAACTCGACCAGCAATTAGTCCTGTGCCATGGGGTTCTTTTCTTCTTTGATACATTAATTTGAAATGAATTACTTCTAATTATTACCTAATCACTTGGGTACATTTAATGGAGGAAAATAAATGTATTCATAACTTCTTTTTTATTTGTGAGTAAAAGAACTATGAATTCAGTGTAGGAGGCACATGACAAAAATAAGCTTCTTAGGCTTACAACATTCTCCAAGGGGGAGATAAATAAGCTCTACAGGAAAATAATCAAACTAATTGTAGTTATTTTCTGCCATTGGCAATGAGGCCATAATTTAGTATGTCAGCATGTTATAGAAGCTGGTATTGTGGC